TAAATTATTGAGTTAGACGTTTAAGTCTCAAAACGAGCCGTTTAACAACACTAGAATATATACTATCCCCAATAATTCACGCGCTATTTAAATTGGATTGGCCCATGATAAAATTAAAGGTCAACAAAAAAAGAATGCTAGAACTTATTTCCAGTTTGAGAAAAGTTCTTGATAAAGAAAGAATAGACCCAGAATATTTTCTGATAAAGTTAATTTTTTTTTATGAGGAAATGAATCAAGATCCTTGTGAAGATTTTTGATGAGTAAATGAATGAAGATCCTTGTGAAGATGATCTACTAAGCTTTCTTCAAAATAAAGATAATTTTTTAAATATTTTTAATTAATTCCCTGAATTAAAATTTTTATTTATTAAATATAATATAATTCTCCCATCCTCTGCGCCAATTGAACGTGTTAACACGGTGAAAGCTGTGTTGAGCACTAAGCGCTCTTGTTTGCCTGTTCAAAATTTTGAAAATAAATTGTTTACTAAAAATAAATAAAAAATTGTTACAAAAAGATTTTATCTTGTATATAATATATTATTTTTGCATAATTTTATTTATATATATGAAAATTTTTTTTTATAAAAAAATCCTATCTTATTATATATTCTTTTTGTATAATTTTATTTATAAGTAGGAAAGAAAAAAATTGTATATATAATTTAATTTTTTTATATAACGAATATACCGTTACTTTTTTGAATAGTCAGTAACGCGGTTCCTTTTTAAAAAGGCAACGAGTAATTGTAACGTGATCCTTTTTTCAGACATAACGAGCAATGGTAAGGCTTTTCTTTTTTTGAACGTTTACAGCACTACAATATATAGACTTGGTCGAGCAATATCTGTAGTATAATAATAGGTCCATAATATAAGTATTAATTTTTAAAGCAATACATTTTGTACTATTTCATCTAAAGGTTTAATAGATAACCTCCCAATAAATTTAGCTCCCCCCCCCCCCCAAAATGGATGCAAACTATTCCAAATCTCCCTCCCCCCGTTTATGTAGACTCTTCAATCCAGGGATTTTAACTCATCTTCGACAAATAAAAATGGTTCTGGTTAAGAGATGAAAAATTTAAAAAGTTTTATTCAATCGAACAATCACATATTCCAGAATATCCTCTTTAAGATTTCCACGTAAATCTAACAATATGTATTTCAAGAATATAATTGCTCGTATTTTAAATTTAAAATTAAATATCTAGGAAAATTATATATTGTCAAGTTGAACAAAATTAACGTATATTATTTTACCTACAAAATGGAGGCAAAAAATTTAAAATTTTGAAAAATGCAATTTATAATATTTATTTTTTTTATTTAAAATTCAGATACAAATATGATAAAATATTATTATTTAAAAATTAACATGGATGGAATAATATAAAAAATATAGTAAAATGTGTCATATAAGTTAAAAATAAAATTAATACAAAGCATGAAAAAAAATTTATTTAAAAAATAAAATATATCTATTTATTTATAAAAAGAAAATAATTTTAAAAAAAATCAGGAGGCGAGGTTGGGTTGATGTTTTGAATATTTAATAGATAGATCTAATTAAAGAGACGATGATTTTCTGCTTGAGTTTATAAAATGGAGAAAGGTCTTTTTGATTGATTTGGATATTATTTTGAAGTGATTTATTGCCGCTTGTCCAAAAGAGCAGGTTGATGTAGCTGCTATGGGAACAAAGTGGTTGTCGGTGGGAATAGTTTTGATTTTCTAGAGATTCAGATCTATTAAAGGGATCATGCATTATTAGATGGGGCCATGGGATCAATGCAGGTAAAATCCCACATTAAGATCTTTCCGATCGATTAAAAGCGGTACGATTGTTATGCCGTCAGGGTGTTTTCTATCTAAAAAGATGTCAGTTCTAAAATACTAGGAAAATTGGCTTTATTTAAAAAAGAAGATATTATTGAATTTATTTTATTATGTCGGCTGATTTACGATATAAATTTAGAGTGGAGATCTTGATTGCATTTAATACAAGTATATTGGTTTAGGAAATTTACGCCAAGGAGTAAACTGATTGCTTAACAGAACGAGTCGTTATCTATTAGTTGGTTAATGCTGGGATATGAGTCAAACCATTCATGACCAGAGTTGTTAAAATAAGTGTTCTTAGGAGCGATTTATATTGATGATCATTGCTCAAGCTGAGATAAGCTAAGGAACGAGATGCCAATCCTTGATCCCAATCTTTTGGTTTTGTTGAATCTGTTGTGGCTGAGTTTGGTAAGACATTAAAATTCCAACAATGTAAGGTTTCATCTAATAAATTATCTTTATCGATGTTAATAATTTGTGAGGTAATATTTTTTACTGCTTTGGTTGATGATATGAAACAAGGGCTATACTTAATGCCGATCTTAGGCCTAGTCAGAGAGAGTTGCCTGAAGCCATGAGTTAGAATTGAGTTCGATGTTTTTGTATTATCATTTGTTCGTATTCCTTTAAAAGAATTTCAAAAGAGAAGGCACCAGAAGTTTTTAAACAATACTAAATTTGTGGTATTAAAAGGGATTTTTTGAGAATAAAATATGCTTGATGGATGGGTAATTTTTTTAAGATCGATGGTTTGGGGAATAGTGATTGAAGGTGATTATTTAAAAAATTAAAAACTCCATCTATACCTCCCAATGGTGCTCCTAATATAGTGAAATATTGTAAGGGTGTCATTTATTTTAGATATCTTGAACCATCATCTAAAAAGGGTTTGAATATTGGTATGGATTCAGCAGGAATATGATATCCAAAGGTTTTGGATTCATTTACCTGTATCTATCCTAGAAGCGCCATTGGAGGGGGGGGGCGCAGTGCTATAACTCCCTGAAAAATTTGAATTTTTTTTTAATGGCTACCTAATATCCCCATGAACTAAAAATAAATTTTTTGATAGCACCCTGAACAATTTCTTTTACAATAATAATATTATAAATAGATGTGATTTTATTATTTAAAAATTAATTAGACTATCTGAATTTTTATTAAATGAATGCTATTTTAATTATTAGATTAGATTAATACATATAAATTATAATTTATTTTAAAAAATGAATAAAGCTATCTGAATTTTTATTAAATGAGTGCAATTTTATTTATTAGATTAGATTAATACATATAAATTATATTGACTATGTCAGCTTGAAATCAAATTCTGTTGAAATATCAATATCACTCATAATGTCTAAATATTGATTTAGCATTAATAGTTGAAGCTTATTTGATTTTATTATTATATTATTTTATAACTTTAAATAAATATAATCATTTGTTAATAATCCTTTAATAATTGAAAATTAACAAATTTAATATTGTAATTAGTAATTATCAGCTTCTTCCTAAAAATATTTTCAAGGTCCAAATAAGAATAAGAGATTTCTTTATAAAAGTAAGTAGACATATAGCTGATAATCCTTTATTATATAAAATTGGTTATAAAATATTATGTGAAATGTCACTTCTACAGACGTATTTTATAGACGTATTTTACAGTTTATATTTTAATATATTTTACTAATAAATGCTTTTTATAATAAATGTAAGTAACAATATGCATTCAATTTTTTAACGCTATCTATTTATTTAAATATATTATTAAAAATCATACATCTTATTATTCATACCACGATAAATGTAAATTTATTAGATATCTATTCTTCTATTTTTTTAAAGTATTTTTAGGAATGCTATTTTTATCTACCTTGAAAACAATTTTGAGTTAATACCAATAGAGGACATGCGACAATAATATATGAAATCTTAATTGCTTTCATCATATCACTAATAACTCAAGTCTTCATTATATTTGCAGAATTATTTACTCTATATTTAGTGTTTTTGTTTTATCAATTTATATAATATAATAAATTCTGTTATGAGTTTACATCGTGTGTCATGGCTATGACTGAATTAACCCTGTGGAAATATAATTTAAGATTATACTCCTACAGCTGAGAGCATATGATTGCATAATTTAAAAGAGTAATAACTGTCTAGTCGTTTATATATCATTAGGAAGATAATCTAGAAATTTAATATCTCACTTCCAGTTAACGGGATGACTGGTGGGCGCAGCATCCAGGCAAATAGATAAATGGATCTTCCCTAAAGAAAATTCCTAGCAATTCCAATGTCCTCATCGTCGATGAAATCTTTTTAAATAAAAAACGGCCCAGAGAAAATGAAGCATATTTATATTTTTAATTTGTATCTATATCGATGGTATTAAATTTGCTAAATTGATTTTAAAATATAATAAATAAAGAATATATTTATATTATTATAAGAAATCTTTGATAATTAATAAAAAAATTCCTAGCCCTCCCTTCTCTGCCAAGTTTTATAATAGACGACTGATAATTAGAGTATGCAGGCTTTAGGAATTAATTGAATTTTAGAGTAAAATTGATTTTATGGGCGTCATCAGAAGGATTGGTATATAAATACATTCGGCTGATATAAAGGGCAGCTTCGCACCCGTATGCACCAACATCAATTTTGTAAAATTTAAAAAAAATACTTCGTAATTTTCTGCCGATAATTTTGCTAATATTGTTGAAATATTGTAACTAACTTAAATTTTTAAAATAAATAATCTCTCTTTCTTTGTAAAGTATTTACACTTTATATATAAAGTTTACTAAATAAAATTTGAATGCAAAACATTATAAAAAATATAAAGTTAGTTTTTTTACCAAAATAAAATTAAGAGTAAGTTAAATAAGTATTTTTTACAAAAATAAAATTAAGAATAATCTACGCAAGGTAATAAAATAAGATGAGGTCAAATCATTATTCAACAAATATAAATATGAATGGCTAACTTAGCAAATTTCATATATATAATCAATATTCTCTGGCTTTTATTACAATTTATTTTACGGAAGTGAAAAATAAAGTTACATAAATTTTTTATTATAAAAACATGTTTTTACGAATATTGGCTATCTAATCTCTGTTATACATCTCTATATGGTTATAAGTTTATAATTATTTTTATGGGCAATTGTTTGTAAATACAAAGTGCCGGGTCTATCAATCACTTTAATTTTAAAAATATCACTCCATCAATATGAGTAAAAAAGATAACGAAGGTAAAATAATGAATAAATTTCGTGTAATTTTTAAAATTTTAGCTGAAGACACGGTTTTAGAGTTTATAAACAAACATAATAGACCATATAGTGCCACAGATATTAGCAATTTTATGCAAAAAGATTTTGGTAAAACCGCAATAATTAGAGCTTTAGATAATCTCGTTAATAAAAAATTAATAATTGAAAAATTATATGGCAAGCAAAAGGTTTTCATGCCTGATCAAGTTACACCACAGTTTATTTCTAAATAACAAAATTTTAAGGAGAAACTGCCTGTCGTTCAGGATTCTGAATTAAAAACTTTAGACATCCAAATTAATGAATTGTCAGAAAAACTTAAGGATTCTAAAAATGAAATGAAATTGCTAGAAAGCCGTAAACATTTAATCTATATGTCTTTATAAATATATCCTAGAATTGAAAAATTTTGAGACCAGCTTATCCATAGCAGAAGCTAGGGTTTTATTTGATAAAACTGAAAAAGAAGTTTTTTTAATTTATAATATATAATTTTAATATTCTTGTCTATAATAAAAAGACAGAATAATTTGACTAATTAATTTGAAAACTTAATTATGTTTTAAAAGTCTTATATTAAAATTTCTATTTATATATAAGAGAACTGAATTAAATTCAAAATTGGAATCTATCAAATCAAACGAAGTAATAATAACAGTGGAAGAAAGAACAAAGGTGCCACACAAATTTTATTTTCTAATATATATTTAAGACATTTCAAGATTATGAAAGAGTATTAAAAGAATTTAAAAAACGCAAAAGAATAGTAATACTTGCCTTTTTTAAAATTTAATTAATTTATTTTATAGGTGAATGAGATATTAGACACAATATTAGAAAATTATCCCAAAAATAAAAAACAATTATTGGTTTACTATTTTTAAAACTATTTGAATTATAATCAGGGTTTAAAACAAGATTCCGTAAACGATCTAAGCAAGATAAATCTAGGAACCAGAACCTATCCTTTTTTAAAATTTATAGGACCCCAAACCCATTTTATATTCCAGAACCATCTACGAAAAATGCAAATTATTTTTATAATTTTGTATGATACATTTTTGAAATGTTGTTTGATTGCTCAAAAGAGTTTGGAATCAGAACCAGGACCTCTCAAATCACTGTCAAATTCTGTTTTATGGAATTAACTTGTATTAGGACAATCAAAACCAAAAACTGATTTACATAGGTAAGCCAGTTTTCCCTCTGATTTTCCTTATCCAAATTTGATGGTCCTGAACTATAATATTTGTAAGATTCATTTTTCTCATATCTGTCACTATTACCTCATCTTAGGCCTTCCAAGAGGTCTTGATCCTACTTTCAATGAGGTGCCACTCTATACATTGTCTTACATTCCATATGTTCAAACTATCTTATATCGCTCCAACCACTTCTATTCTCATTCTTGCTATTTCTCTCTCTGAGATACCACACAAATCCATCTAATCATCTTCACCATTTCTTCTAATTTAGCTTATGAGCCACTTTTTGTCCATGTTTCACCACCATAGACTAAATAACTCCTCACAGCTTACACAAACTTTTCCTTATAATTTCAAGACGTTTTTATTTATTGAATAGATGACATTTCTCTATACTTTTCCATGCTTGTATTTCTAACATCAGCAGAATATACACTTCCATCTGTTTTTGGCATGTCACCCAAATAGAAAACTTACCAGGGTTGACTCATTGACAATATCCAAACTATCATTTTCCACATTACCATTATTATGTACCACTTTTACGCATGTTCTACAAATATTGCTAACATCAGACTTCCTTTTCCAAACTATATCTTTTATGAACCCGATTAAATTTCAAGCAACCCTTTTTCTACATATACCACAAGGCCAGCTGCTAAATTCCTCTACCTTCATATTGTCCCCACCATAGCCATCTTCCATCTAATAATTTTATCCCTCAATTCTTCCTCGATGTTTGCCATTAATGGTCACCTGCATATAATAGCTTCAATGGAAGTCCTTCATCTCTAGCCACCACTTCCATTACTAAGATAAATAATAAAATAATAATGGACTCATCAGGGATCCCTAGTGAAATTCTACCTTCACTTCAAATCTAATTTTCTTATCATCCATCCTTACCAGAGTTTGTACTCCCAATACATTGCCCGCCATACCAGCCATTCTTCCACACCAGATTTTCTCAACGCCGCCCATCGAGTAATTTCATGTCAGACCCTGTAAAATACCTTCTCCAAGTCAGCAAACACATAAAATAGTTTCTTCCTTTGCAAGATATTTCTCCTGTATAAATTAAAGGCATACAAAAGAATTTAGTAAAATAAATAACAATGTTTATTTTTATGTGATTCTTTGTTAAGTTCCTATTTTTGTAAAGGGATATTTATGATGTTTTTTTAATATTTTTGTTATTTATATGAATTAAAAATTGAAGTTTTCTAATGACATTTGGATTTTAGATAATTAATATATATAGTACATAGTTTTAATTATTATTTTGTTTATAAAAAATTATATAATTATAGGAAGAAATTGGTATTGAAGAGCAACCTAATCCACTTGAAGGCAAATAATTCGTTCTGTTTTTTTTTGTTCAAACATGAATTCATAGTATTGTAAATAAATCACAAGTATTAAAATTTCCTAACTATATCCTTATCTCATGTGATATTTGTCTTTAAAATAAAATATGAATTTATTGTAGAATATAAAATTGTAAATTAATTGTTCAATTTATTATAAAATTTATAAATTGTACGAAAATCTATTAAATAACGTAGATTTGATTAATATGATGTATAACAAAATAAGGAGAGAGGACCATCAGAATGAACCTATGATCATATTTTTAAAAATTTAGGCCAGGCCTTAAAAAATTGCAAAACTCATTAACTGAAAATAAGAAAAAAGTAATTTATATTATTGGAATCATCTGAGCATTTTTTAAAAATAAAAGTGTGTCAAAGCTATTTTCATTAATCCAATTCCCAATCTTTTTTCTCCATGGTATTTCTTAAAGATTCTGAGGGGAATAGATCATCCAGTTTCGACTGGCTATGGGAATTATAACTCATCTGAATTAACTGTTAGGTATTAGTTATTCTCTGTAAAATTTTGAAAGATGAATGTCTACAATTTTTTTATATAGAAAAACAAAATATTTTTAAATATAATTTATCTATTTTTTGACTTTCAAATATTTCAATATTTATTACAACTACTGTTTTATGTTCTATGGACCGCTATTTTACAAAAAAAAAGTAGCTCTCGTGCTTTTGCTAATGTTTTCAAAAAAAGTGGCTAAAGCTACTTTTTTAGAATTTTATTAAAATATTTTTTTACTTATCTCTATTTACACAAATAAATATGACTAAAATTTCAAATATATATTTTTTTTTCACATCTAAATAATAATAAATTTCCATACTGCAATCCACAGTTTATAACAATGATCAGAAAATATAAGCTATAACTAGGGTCTGCTCGAATTGAGCCTATTTTTAAAAACAGCTAACTCAATATTTTAGCTAGAAAAATATTCATTAAATCTCGAGATTTCGCCAATAGATGTCCTAACCTTTGTGCCATCTATAACCAAAATCTTCAGGCTTGTGTGATATTTTTCTGGATAAAATACTGAGTTCGCTTTTTTAAAAATCGACTCAAATTGAGCCGACTAACAATACTAGCTATGACTAAATAATCGTTCAACCCTAGCACGCCGCGATGCAGTATTAAGATTAATATACATATTTAAGAAAAATCATCAATATTCGTTCGAGTATTTTTAATTTTAAAAAATGCGTCTAAAGGATTATCAATAGTATTATTTATTCAAAAAAAATTCATAGTAGGTGGCGTTTTTGATATGGCTAGGGTCAGTCTAGAATTATAATAGTAATAGAATAAATTATGTAGGGGATAAGTTGGTAGCCATGTTTGCCAATTAACCATGCGACCATCTTTTAACTTTTTATTTATTGAACCAATTTCATAATAATTTATAAAATATAATCATTAAATAGATAAGCCTTGATCTGTTAATATTAATTATTTATTGTAATTTATAATACAATTCTTGAATAATATCTTATGGCCCATACCATGTTTGGACTGGGCCATAAAATATACCTTCACATAAACTCATCTAGCTTATTATAGATACAGCTTTAAATATCATTTTAAAGATTGAGATACACATTGATATTATGTTTGTTTATTATATTACTTTTAAATGTTTCCTCGTTGAATTGTTTGGTGATAAAACCATCAGGCATGGATAGACAATTTTTCAAATTCAGGAAAATGAAATTCAATATTATCAGCATTTTCCAGGGAAATTACTTTGTCGATATGATCTGTACCAAAATTATCTTAAAATATCGTCGACATTTTAAATATTAAATTAATTTGAAAACTAGATTTATAATGCAGATTTTTTAAATATAAATTTCAAAATTAAATTAAATAAAAGGATTATGATTTTAGAATTAATTGTAAATGTAATTTGAAATTTTTATGTGTATTTATTATGTAATATTAAAAGTAGCGAAGTAGCGCTTTAAATTAGTAGCGAGGAGCCATGGTTATTTTTTTTTAAAGTAGGGCACTAAAGCTACCGCTACTGAAAAAAGTAGCACGCTACTTTAACAACACTGGTTTTATATTTATTCCATGTCCTATGGTTAAAAATCACAAATGCATTTGATTTTTAATCGTATATCATCTAAAAATCAGGGGCGTCATTAGCCTTTAAAATCTTAGGTGGTTCAAAAAAATTATTTCCAAAATTACCTTTCCTTAGATAACATCCAAAATTACCTTCTTTTTTTTAGCTAACATCTAAAATAACCTTTTTAAGTGGTTTAAAAGAAAAATTTTAAATTTTTAGGGGGATTAAGGCTCTGAGTCCCTCGTTTAGTGATGCTACTGATAAAAATTATATTAAGTTTAGAAATAACCTAAACTAGTAAATGCCAATGGCCTACAATAGACGAAATAAAGGGATTAGATCGAAACCCGATCTTAAATAAAAGATTGGACCATTTTTTTTAAAAATCCTTCAAATCTCATACTAAAAACATTTAACTTTAAAATATAAATTATATATTATTAGCAATGTTATATAAATATTGTGAATATCTAATATATTTTATTCAACCACTGAAATATTAACCCAACTTTTTAAGTGTTGTGCAAATGAAAAAATATAGTCATTTTAATAGGAAAATATACATAGTTACTAAATAAAATTTTTTTTTTTAAAAATAGCATTATTTTAATTATTAAATATAGTTAAAAGAACTTCAACTATATAAATTTAAATAAAACGACACCTAAAATCCCAGGCTATTACCCATCTAAATTCTTCTAAGATCAACGCTGCTTAATTTCGGTATTGGAAAGAGAGCCTGTGTTTTTAGGGTGATATAGTCGTAAAATTATAGGATGCCTATTTATATAAAAATATTATTTTATATTTTTGGTATCCAGTCATTCTACAATAGTGCGGATCGTTATTTATTAATATTATAGATAGATTCATCCATTAATTTTGTTAAATAATTCAAACGATTCACATAGATATTCCTAAAAATCCCTCAAAAATATAAATAGCGATCAAAATAATCGAATAGACTCCCCCCCCCCCACCCCCACTTCCCTAACTAAATATTACACATTTTGCGTTTTTGTCTATTTTCAGAAATAAAAAATGAATATTATATAAATTGATATAGGCCCTAATTTAGCCACCAATCATCTATATTCATTTTTTTATTTATTATCTAGTGCTGTAAACATTTCTAAAATAATCCATATCTTTCATTTTCAATATCCATCTTTAAAAAAAGTTTTTTTTTTAAATTTCATATAATATACATAATTACCATATATTTTTTACACAATATATAAGCCATGTTTAAAGTCAGAGACCAACAGAGGTACCATTTGCAGGGCCGCTCGGATTCTGTTTTAAAAATTTTTAAGGCCCGCCCCGGATTTTTTAAAATATATATTTTCTTTATTTTTAATTTTTATAGATAATAATGTAGATTTCAAATATTAGGCCCGGCCCGAGTATTTTAATAAAAAATCTTTAGGTTCTGTCTGGGTCTATTTTAAAAATAAAAATTTGGCGTAATTTGTATATTTTGTTTTAAAAAATAAAATCTTTGGTTTCTGATGTAAGAGCTCTTATTCTGCCGCCTATTTTAAAATATAATTATTCATGTTTTTTGGGATAGTGAATAGATTATAGAGCTCTTACATCAGAATCCAAAGAATTTTATTTTTTAAATCAAAATATACAAATTACCATTTAAAAGATAATTATTCATGTTTTTTTGGGATAGTGAATAGATTATATTTTAAAAAATGACAATAAAAATAAATTCTAAATAATATCAATCATTGTATATAATATATAAAATTTAATGATTTTTACTTAGAACAATCTAAAATAAATTATTAACTAGAGTTATATTTATATTATATAAAATAAAATAATTAATATAAAATCAAATGTCGTTTTAAATTGGAACTTGAAGATTTTGAAACTGAATAATGCTTTTTGGGCACATTTTACATTTTGTAATTATTGAATTATTTCCTTCAATATAGGATGTTACTGTAAAATATTTATCATATTTGGGCCATGGTAATGTTAATTCATCTGATTTTGAATTTTCAGAATCAGATGAAGATGATAAAATGATAATATCCATGCTTATGCTAATCTATTAAATTAAAATATAAGTAATATTATTCAAATTAATAAATGATAATAATGGCTTGTTAAAAAATTGAAATGTGAAAAAGGAAAAACAGCTGATTAAAAATTATAAGACTTTTTTCTTAAAAAATTCGGATTAATATTAAATTTTTCAATTAAATAAAAACAAAAAGTGTTTTTAAAATCGAACGAATTTTAAATTCGAACGCGTTCGTCATAAAAGGAACGCGTTCACATTCAAAATTCGTCAAAAATAAAAGGAGCCCCTTCATCATTTTTTTCAAAAATTGAACGCGTTCGTTTACTAGCTAATAATGTTAGTTGTGCAAAGGTAAAAGGCTCAGAGTGTAAATTTGGCAAAGACGAAATAAGGAGAGCAGAAATAAGGAGAGCACTGGGAAAAAGGGAAGGCATCGAGTTTAACGATGGTTGTATCAGAGATGTTTAAAGGTTCTGATGACTTAGGGATTGAATGGTTAATGAATTTAGCCTATCAAATTGTCACAGGAGGAACTATCCCTGAGGACTGACGAAGAAGTATAATTATCCCAGTATACAAGGGAAAAGGTTATCCTTTAGATTGCGGGTCTTACAGAGCTATTAAAATCTTGGGACATGTAATGAAGGTATTTGAGAGGGTGTTAGAGAAGCGGATAAGGGAACAGACTAAAATTGATGAAATGCAGTTTGGTTTTACATCGAGGAAAGGCACAACAGTGCAATTCTTGTGGTGAGACAAATACAGGAGAAGTATCTTGCGAAGGAAAAGAAACTATATTATGCACTAGATGGGCCTTGAGAAAATCAGGTGTGGAGGAATAGTTGGTTTGGCAGTGATGGCAATGTATGTAGGAGTACAAACTGCAGTAGGGACGGATGATGAAGATAGTGAAAGCATTGAAGTAGAGGTTGGATTTTATCAAGGATCCGTGCTGAGTCCATTATTATTTATCTTAGTAATGAATGTGGTGGCTAGAGAAATGCGTGAAGGAGTTCCCTGGGAGCTATTATTTGCAGATGACCTTATATT